ATCTTGTTACAGGATCTAAATCCATGTACAAATGTCATTTGTGACTGAGGCATATATATATATTTTTTTCTTTCTTTCTTTTTTAATAAGGTTAAGGCTAAAAAACAGTGAGGATGGATTAAGTTTTGGGAATGAGGTTTATCAGATCAAATTCCCAGAGGAAAGACCAGCACCACCTCCATTATTTGGAGACAGATATAATTTCTATCTGGAAGGTGTTGTAGACTGCCCAGAGTTTCTCATCCACCCACCAACTTTAGAAGCGTGAGTTGAACATGTCGAAATTATTGTTTGTTAGTTGGCTCTAAATTTATATGTTCTCTTTGTAAAAATTATTGTAGCTTCAGCCCTTACAGCTTTCATAAGTAGATCAAGTATTTTTTTTTTTTTTTTTTTTTTTTTTTTTTTTTTTTTTTTTTTTTTTTCAAAATATGCATTTTGTACTTCTTGTGTTAGATTCCTTTTCTCTAATAGAAATATGTACCATTATTCTATCTTACTCTACATATTTGTTGAATAATACATGATCAATTCCATGCTTTCAGTCTTGCTGCAAAATGGGGATTGAAGCAAGTATGGATTCGTGATTTCCAAACACTCTTTGAAGATGCTGTGAAAGATCGGGAGTATCAGAATCTCCTCTCTGTGATGAAGGCTTTAGAGGTTTGTTCCATTTTTTTTTTTTTTTTTTTTTTTTTTTTTTTTTTTTTTTTTTTTTTTGTTATCAAATATTTTTACAGCAGATGTTGTATGTATTAGGTAATGACTACTTATATTCACCTAAACGTGAGAAAACCTTTGTGTCTCATCTACAATACCAATGTAGTGGCTATTCAGTGAAAAGACCACTTCTTCAAGTATGTGTACCCTACTACTCCCTTTGCCATTATCCTGGAAGAAAACCATTAATTGATTATAAAATAATTTGTGATGTCTTATCAGTCACGAGTCCATGGCCTGGTCTAGTGAAGTAATTTTGTACACATAGAGAACATGATTTAGTTTCATGACATTCTCAAAAGTTTTTTCCTTATAATTTCCTCTTAATTTATTAATATATCTTGGACAAAATAGTGTGGATTTGTTGTGCCACATCTTGTACTGAAGGAAAACAGCAGATAGTTCAATAGTTAAAACATGTGATTTTGATTTAGAATTGCTGCCAATTTGTTTCTTATTTCTCTTCTTAGCTTTAAATTGTGAAGCAATTACTGTGATGAAACAGTTTATTTCTGTATATTATATTTAGCCTTCATATGTAATAAGAGATTTCAGTGTGGATCTTTTCGAGGAGTAATTGACCTAGAATATGAAGTGGGAAGTCCTGTGCTAGTATTCATTTATGTAAGTTTCATAGAAAATATTTATTCTATTCAGAACTACCCAACAAATGAGCAAGAAACTGAGACTGAGGGTGAATACAGCCATGCTGAAGATCACCTAGCCCAGAATGAAAGAGCTGATCGTATAAGGACACTCTCAAAATCAGAGTGGGATGCAATCCGTAAGTTCAGACCCCTGCTTCCCTCCCTTCCTCCGTTTTTTTCCCTTTTCTTTCTCCCAGTAACACATATTTAAACAACACACATTTTTATTAAGACAACCTTGTTGTGTGACTCTAATAGTTTTATGTATAATTTATCAATGGCACAAATAAGTTGGGAATAAAAAAAACTTAACCATTTCCTTTTTCTTTTGCAGGCATATATCAGGCGTGCCTCTTCAAGAAAGTTACTTAAAATCTCATATCATGTATAGGTGAATAATGTATTATTTTTTATTAATATTTTGTCTTTATTTTTTCATTATTCCTTTTTCCCATATAGATTCTCCAAATATTATTGGAAAACTACTAGCATATATATATATATCATTCAGATTCTTTGAATTTATAGGTCTGAACAAACCCTTACTGTAAAAAACATTAAATTTCTGTGATGTAAATATTATTCACGGTTAAGTAACTACATGGCTTCATTCTGAGTTCATTATTTGTTTCCATTTTCCATTAGGCCTCATCCTCATCATTTTGCACAAGCTGGGTACTGCATAGGAAAGGTGTAAAAATTTTGGAACAATGCATCAACTGTCTTTACTTTTGTGTAACATCTATCCCAGTTATATTTGTACACAAGCAGGAGTTCTTTATTATGTTTGTCTATGTTTCGTTTTTTTGTAATACAAATTTGTATACAAAATATGAAGTGTTTTGTTAATTTTAGGTTATCCTTATTATTTTTTTTGTTATTACATTTATTTTGATAATTATAACCTGTATTTGGAAATTACTGTAAACACCATTATTATTAATATCATCTTTATCATTGTTCCTACTATATCTATATATTCCTTGTCAGGGACACTTTTCTCTATATTATTCAGAATAGTACAAAACAAAATGTTTTTACTACTTGATCTGTTTGATATTTAGGGTAAAAATGGAACATTTATGACATTAATTATAATGTAAAAAAAATGAAATAAAATTTGGTACAAGTGTTGATTAATTTATATAACCTGAAAAAATCTATTGTGATTATGTACTCATGTTTGTATACACCATAACAATTTTTTTTGTTCAGTGATAATGAAAGTATAAGGATATGTCTATTTTACAACTTTTTGGGGGGATACAGTTATTGATTAAGACTAAGCTTGCTCAAGATCAAAGGCCTTGACAACTGCTACTTTCATCCTAAAAAAAATTGTACCCAAATCATAGCCCAACCTCTAAAGTATTATCAGTCATAACTTCATAACTTGGAATAAAACTTTCTCAAAACAGGTGACTACTGCCTCATCCTGCCTCACTCATATCAGGTGCACATGGATATGAATGCACACCAAATCACCTTAATGCAGACATGTGTACACTAACTCAGATTTTAGCCCTCATGATTACCAGACATCTTGACAGAACAAATAGGTTTGCATTATAGCATCTGGCTTTTGAAAGTGTAACAGAATCCTTATAAGTGCTTAATAGAGTGTTTTGGAGTCACAGGACCAATTCTTTCCTTCAGAACTGCTTTCTTTGCCATAGTAGTGTTCGGGTCAGCCCAAGAGACTTGTGCAACGGTATGGAACTCCACAGAAAATTAACAAACTTTAAATATTCTCTTGCCACAGCTAGGTTCCTAACAAACAAAAAGTCATGACATTTGAGAAGAAATAATTCATTTATTTGCAGGGAAACTTGAACAAATATAATATGAGATATATTATTGTTTTATCTTAAGCATTTATAAAACAATTCACATATCTTCCCCCCCTCCCTCCAATCCCTTGCTCATTGTTGTCAGAGGGGAGCTTAGGAGATGGAGACAGGCCCAGTGCTTGGCTCAACTAATTTTTCTTCTTTCCTTTCCCTTATCTTCCCCAAACCCTTCCCCTGCCCAATTTCAAGGGTGTGAAAGCTGTGTTGAAAGGATGAAAAGGACGTGGTGCCAGTCATGAACGGCCTCAGGGAGCCATGGGCACAGTCTTCCCTACGTTAATTGTCCGCCCTTACGCGTCATGGGGACCCTGAAGGGTGGACCTTTTATCTTCCCACTTATTCCAGGGTTACCATGACCAGTAATGAAGAATTTGTACCCTTATCAGGGTCACTGAGGCTTGTCCCTTTATCAACTAGCCTCCTTAAAGCTAACTCTCCTGGTTAACCGACCCCTGACTCTCCGTTGAACATGACTCCGACCACTGATACTACCAATCCTAAATCATCTACCCAGATTATAACTCAATCTTCAAAAGACCCCATCCTCACTCCCAATATGCTCCAACCCATCTGCACAATCGTCTCCATTTCCTATATCCTCCTCCCTTATTACAACTCTTCAACCTTATTCCTGCTCAACCCACTCCTCCCTTAATACTTGTATCGGAACTATTTCCATCCCAGCTGATAGCCCAGTCTATGACAAGGATTAGTCAGACTGTGAAGAAGACCTACTTGCCTGCCTTACTATGATACAGTATCAGTACAGTGCTCCACTATTCCCTTGTAATTCCCACGTCAATATTGCCAAGATTACTTTCCATAGACATGACCTTCCCCATAAGGTCTATATCAGTGGAGAATCTTGCCATGTCAGATCATATCAACCTCCCATCTGTCAATGTCAGAAATGTTGATGTTTTGGCTACCCTGCAAAGCACTGTCGCTCCACAGCTTGTCGCCCTCAAGGTGCCCAGCCAGGTGATGACCGTTCAAATTGTCCTGCACAATCATGTACATATGCCAGTTACAGTGGATCCCATATTGTATTTTATAGGAATCCCTACCTACAAGTTTGAGTCTGAGGTGGCATTTCGATGATACAAATTTGGCTTTACTCTACGAGAGACCAGACAGAAAGCACGCCAACAAGGTTTTTATATCACTCCCCTCTACCCAAACCATCTCTATATCTTCTACAGTACCTCTCCCCAACTCCTCACCACCCCATTTTTACTTCCCCTATCTCCCAATCAAATCCTTTTCCATTCTAAATCCAGATACTCCAATATCCACAACTTCTCTTATGTCTGCTCCTACTTGCCTTTCTTATCCTTTCTTATGGTACAAGACAAGATAAATGTACCACCCCATCTTCACCTATTACAACTACATTTTCTACTCCTCAAATGCCTATCTCCTCTTCCTCATCACCCAACTCCTCTCCAGAAACCCTTGAGGACATCCGAAACTTCCTAAGCATGGCCCGAGAAAATGCTTTTCTCTCTCACCCATCCTTTACTTTCAGAGTGACTGCCAACATCCATCAGTTCCCTTCCTCAGATCCCACCTTCCCTAAGAAACCTGATACTACTCCTTCACCTCCTCCTGATCCCCTACTCCAATCCCCGGATACTCCTCATATTTCTCAGATACCCATTTCTATCCTTATCACCCACTGCTTGCTCCACAATGGCTCTTCTAGAGTGGGACATTCGAGGCATTCGTTCTCCTCGACCTGATCTTCGCATAACTTATCCATAATCTGTCTTCAAGAAACCTTCCAAATATAGCCTCCATTATCGATTCCAAATTATCATTTTATATCATTCCCTCACTCTCTTATCTCCTCTATACCCGTCCACCAAAAAACACCATTCGCTATACCTTACTCTCAAACCACTGTCCCTTGCATAACTATTAGCATCTTTCCTCGCCACTAGATCACAATTATTTCAATTTACCTTTCCCATTCTCTTCTCATTGACTATAATACCTTTGAAACTTTACTTTCTCAACGTCCACCACCATTCTTCAGAGTTGGTGATTTTAACTGTCGCCACACTCTTTGGGGTGACTCCACTAATACCGAAATCGCTCCTTATAACACTCAAATACTAACTTTATCTTCCTAAATTCAAACCATCCATCTCAGTTTGACATGCGCTCCCAATCTTTTTCATGCCTTTATCTTTCTTTTTGGTCCCCTTCCCTTCGCCTAGACTTCCATTGGTCAGCTCTAAACCATTTTCATTTTAAGGATCACTTTTCTGTTCTCCTTTCTCCTACTCCTTATGTCCCACTTCCCAACCCCCTTTGCTGGTGCTTTAACAGAGCTGACTAGCATACCTTTACCTCTCTCTCTACTCTTGATCTTCCTTTATTATCCTTCTCTTCCTCTTAAGGCATACTTCTATACTTCACAACCAATATCCTAAATGCAGCCCATACATCCATTCCCCGAACCTCCCGACCTTACAATTCCAAATGTGTTCCATGGTGGAACCGATAATGTACCAAAGCGCTTCGAGTAAAGCATGCAGCGTGGAACAGAAACAAGAGAGGCACCCCCAGTCAGTTAACAGCCCTTATATAATTTAGAAAGACATCGGCTCATCTTCGCCGTACAGCACGAAACTTCACAGCTGGCGAAATAATGTACCCTCCATAACATCATCGACACCAGTTTCAGCAGTCTGATGGCTGATCCATAAACTATCTGGTAAATATCCTCCTCATCCTGCTCATGTCCTCCATATCCGCAATAACCTCGTCTTTGGCCCTCTACAAGTTGCTAGTGATCTTGGTGCCTATTTTAGCCAAGTCAGTAGGCGCTCTCACCTTTCTCCTCTCTTCTCTTCCATAAAATGAGACAGCGCGCACTCCTGTCTCCTCGCCGTCCTCTACAGAATCTTATAATGCTCATTTTTCTTCTGAAGTCATTTGTGGATTACAGTCATGCCGCAACACCCACGAAGGCCCAGACGGTATACATTATCGTATGTTACGACACATTCCATGTGCTCCCTTGTCCCACAAGGCAGCACATTATTTCTCACAGCTGTAAGCGAATTATGGCCGAATGTTTAAAGAAACTGTGTAGCGCAAATCAGTTCTTAATTCAATATTCTTATGCTTGAATCTTCATGATTGTAGGAAGTCTTAATGCAATTTTAGGACTTAGTTTCTAAAATACAATGTTGTTATCCTCTTCCGTTATTTTGGTTTACCAACTCCTTTCTAGACGTCGTGCTCTTTTGTCTCCAAGAAACTATGCTCGTCCAGCAATTTCCTCTCTCTAAGCTAACTGTCTCCCAATCCCTTCTTCATACCTTCTCCCCCTCTCCACGTTTACCTGCCCCTTTCCCTGTGTGTATGGAAGGTTTGCCTTCCCGTTCACTCATTCCTCATCTCCGATCCCTTCGTCTTTTTGCCCAATTTTTCTGCCCTGACTAATACCTTACTCTTGTAATTGCTCTTCTGTTTTCCCAGATCCGCCCAAATCAAACATCGCACCTTCTATTCTTACAGTAGAATTGTATGTTATCCTCTTCGTTTTACAACGCATGTCTTCCATCTATTTCTCATATATTTCTCATCCTTCACCTTCCATACACCTTCACCATATGTATATACATATATATATATATATCTATCTATATATGTATATATATACAAATATAGATACATATACATATGTATATATACACATGTATATGTGTGTATATGTACATATGTACACACACACACACACACACACACACATGTATATATATGTATATATATATATATATATATAATATATATATATATATATATATATATAGGTGTGTGTGTGTGTGTGTGTGTGTGTGTGTGTGTGTGTGTGTGTGTGTGTGTGTGTGTGTGTGTGTGTGTGTGTGTGTGTGTGTGTGTGTGTGTATGTATGTGTATACAAGGGTATAGGTGAAAATCCTTGCTCATGAGTTCAGTTCAGTATGATTTGCGAAATCTGGCTTCGCCCGGGCTATATATATATTTGTATATATGTATGCATATATATAAATATATGTGTATATACATACATATATATATATATATATATATATATATATATATATATACATACACATCACGCACACACGCACACACACACACACACACACACACACACACACACACACACACACACACACACACACACACACACACACACACACACACACACGCACGCACACACACATACGCACACGCGCACACACGCATACGCAACACACACACACACACACAACACACACAACACA